GCGCGGAACGCATGGAACAAGTGCACAGCGGTTCAACCGACAAGGACAGAAGAACGAAGAGCGAAACAGTGCTTCTTGGCTTACAACAGTAGCTCTTGGTAAGGATATGTCAGTTATTGCACAAAATACTGAAATAGGTAATGTAAATAATTGTATTGAAATAAAATGGCTTTTAGATAGTGGTTGTACAGACCACATTATTAATGATGAAAAATTATTTGATAAATGTAAATTACTTAAAGATCCCATTAATGTTTATTTAGGAGATAATAGGGTTGTAAAAGCTACTAAAATTGGAAATGTTTTAAGTTACTTTGATGCTTTTGGTAAAAAGAGTTTAGTAGATATGCAAAATGTTTTCTATGTTAAAGATATGAAATCAAATTTGATAAGTTATAGCAAAATAACAGAAAATAATAAGATTATTTCTCTAGGTAATATTTCAAAAGTTTTTGATAAACTTGGTAATATAACAGCAGTTGCTTTAAAAAATAATGGCTTATATATTATGAAAAGTAAATTAAAATCAGTTGAATTGCATGTAAATGTTGCAAATAAAGATATGAATAATATGAATCAAAAGGAAAAATGGCATCGTTTATTAGGTCATGTAAATTTTAAATATTTGAATATTTTATCTAAAGATCAGCTGTTGAATGGAATTCCTAATGAGTTTGAATCTGAATTTATGAAATGTAAGATTTGTATTGAAAGTAAAATGCATAATATTCCGTTTGTAAACAGTAGAAAAAAAGCTAAAGATATTTTAGAGATTGTACATACTGATGTTTGTGGGCCTTTTCGAACTACTGGGTTTAAAGGTGAAAATTATTTTGTTTCTTTCATTGATGATTATAGTAAGATTTCTAAAGTATATGCTATAAAATCAAAAGCAGAAGTATGTGATTGTTTGAATGAATATACGAATGAAAGTGAAAATTTGACTGGAAAGAAAATAAAGATTTTAAGATGTGATAATGGGAAAGAATATTTGAACAGTAAAGTCTACAGATTTGCAAAAGAAAGGGGTATAGTAATTGATAATTGTCCTACATATGTACATGAATTGAATGGGACTGCAGAACGGTTTAATCGAACTATAATGGATATGTCAAGATGTTTGTTGGCTGAAGCAGATATTCATAAAAAATATTGGCCTGAAATAGTTTGTGCTGCGGTTTATTTGAAAAATCGTACTTTATCTGATACAATTGAAAAGAAAACTCCATATGAAATATTTTTTGGACAGAAACCTGATGTTTCTAATTTGCGTTTGTATGGAAGTAAAGTTTTTGTACGAAGACCAGAACAGAAGAGAATCTCTAAATGGGATAAGAAAGCTGATATGGGAATTTTAATTGGTTATAGTAATGTTGGTTATCGTGTATTATTAAATGGCAGAGTCATTGTTGCTAGACACGTGGATATTGTTGAAGAAAACGTTAAGTGTATAGGTTTAGACTTTAACGAATCAGATAATGATAATAATGAAGAGTGTTACCCTGATAAAATTGATGAAAGCTCTGAAAATGACTCAATAGATGAAACTTTTGAAAGTACAAATGAAAGTATGGATGATAGTGTGAATAAAAATGAACCTGAGTTACCTAGATCTCACAGAGCCAAAAATCCTCCAAAGAAATTTGATGACTACTATGTATATAATAGTAGTATTTTTGTAAATATGTGTAGAACTGATATACCACATACATTTGAGGAGGCGATAAATTCTAATGAAAGTAAGTATTGGAAAACAGCTATGGACAAAGAAATTGATAGTTTAAATAAAAGTAAAACTTGGAAATTGGTTAAAAATGATACAAACAAAAATATTCTGGATGTTAAATGGGTTTATACTAAAAAGTCTGATAATACTTATAAAGCTAGATTGGTTGTACGAGGTTTTCAACAAACTGATGAAATTGATGATATTTATTCACCTGTGGCTAAAATGCAAACATTAAAGATTTTATTGTCATATTGTTGTCAAATGGGCCTAGTAATTGAACAAATGGATGTTGAAACAGCCTTTTTAAATGGTAAAGTAATTTCTGAAGTCTATATTAAACAACCTAAGGGTTATGAAGATGGAACAAGTAAAGTTTGTAAATTAGTTAAAGCTTTATATGGTTTAAAAGAAAGTCCAAGGGCATGGTATGAGTGCCTAGATACATTTTTGATAAATTTAGGTTTTGAAAGAAGTAATATTGATCCTTGTTTGTACGTTTATAAAATTGGAAATGATATTATTTACTTATTAATTTATGTCGATGATTTATTGATTTGTGGTAGAAATTTAAATGAAATTAAAAGGATTAAAATTTTATTATCAGAAAAATTTAAAATGAAAGATATTGGTGAAATTAAAGAATATCTTGGTATTACTGTTGATTATGATTCTAGTAAACATGAAATGAGATTGGATCAAAATAAATATATTGAATTATTAAGGAAAAAATATAATTTAGAAAAAGGTAAAATGTATAATACACCTATGGAAGTAAATTTAAAAATTGATAAATCTGATCATTGTGAAAGAAATATTAAATATAAAAATTTAATTGGTGCACTATTATACATAAGTTCGGCAACAAGGCCTGATATAAGTTTCAGCGTAAATTATCTGAGTAGATTTCAAAATTGCTATAATGAAACGCACTTTAAATATGCTGTACGAATTTTGAAATATTTATGCTTAACTAAAGATTTAAAATTGTTTTATAACAGAAATGAAAAAGTAAGTATTATTGATTGTTATGTGGATGCCGATTGGGCAGGTGATCATTTAGATAGAAAGTCTACAACTGGTTTTGTAATAAGATTGTTTGGTAATGTAATTTATTGGAAATCTAGAAAACAAAAAAGCGTTACAAAAGCTTCAACTTTTGCAGAGTATGTAGCATTGTCAGAAGCAGTAAGTGAATTGATATTTGTAAAAGAATTGTTGAAAATATTTGATATTGAAATAATAAAGCCAATTGATGTTTATGAAGATAACACTGGTACAATTAGTATAGCTAATTATGGCAATTTTACAAAAAATTCTAAGCATGTTGAAATTCATTATCATTATGTAAATGATTATGTTAAAGCAAATGTTATAAATGTGGTTAAAGTAGATTCTGATGATAATATTGCAGATATTTTTACGAAGTCCTTGGGCCAAGATAAATTTGAAAAATTTCGAAGTATGTTAAATTTGAATTAATGTAAATACAATGTAAATGTAAGGAGGCGTGTTGAGAATGTAATACATTTATATTGTATACACAGATATATTGGTGTAAGAGTAAGCGGAACGCACCCATAGTGTCATGGGTTGACATGACAGACAATAATAGTAATGAAAATGAGTATCATGTAGTTGTAGGTGGTAGTAAGAAGTATGGTGGCTTAAGTTAGGTTAGTTAATTAGTATGTATGTTATAGGAAATAAAGCCTTTTATAATAGTAGTAAAGTACGACTATTTATTTTCCAAATCCACACCTTAACAATATATATATATATATATATATATATATATATATATATATATATATATATATATATATATATATATATATATATATATTCTTTTCATAGTAATAGTTGCTGAAATTGACACACTTTTCTTCATCTTCGCTAGATATCATTTCTGAGTCTTGTTGTTGTTCATTTTCACTTAGTTCTTGTTCACTGTCCGTAAAATGATCACTTTCTATATAATTTCCTTCTTCCACATCATCACTATATGTCTCTCTCTTACACCTTTACGAGATCTATCCATATTAAAATAACACTAATGGTAACCTTGCGTCTAGTAGACTCCGCGACGTAAATATTTAGAAAACGGGACGAGCGAAGTACCTCTCATTAACTAGTACTACTAAAAGCTAGGAAGGTACACCGAATTACAGTTTGCTACGTATTTGTGGCGAGGAACGCAGACGCGTTAATAAACGTGCGAAGTCTGTTAGACGCATGGTCACCAGTTAAGGGTTAAATTTATGAAACTGTGGTTTCCACACTATACAAAATCATCCAAAAAGTAAAATCGTTGCATAAAAATAAGTTACTTCTTCACATTACTTCTCAGAGTACTGTCATAAAGCAGTACTCAAAGAATTGCTTTCATTGCCTGTTTCAGCTGACTTTAGTGATAGTAGGAAAACTATGGTCTACTATGAATGCTTCATCACAGTGAACAGAAGCGGGGGACTCAGAAGACTTAAAATGATTTATTTTATTACGTAAAATCCATATTTTTTATAGAATAATAATTATGTAAAATAACAATTTCAATATATATAATAAATTTAATTTATTCAAAATAAAGTTTAATAGGAGTCACTGAATTATCGACTTTCTAGTAAAATATAAGTGTGAAATATTCTTTAGTTGAAAAGTATGAAGATATTAAATATCAATATTGTGCCAGCCCGACTCTGAAGTAAGATGCATTCAAAATTAAAATGGAATCACATGGAATGGAAATTTTATAAAAGTTCATCATCTGTTGTCTGTTTGTGAGATTAGTTAACGCGAAGTCATTTAATTAAAAATTAAAATTGTATGTAGTTGTTAGTATTTAGGTCATAAAAAAATCAACAATACTCTATCTTCTGGTTCTGTGAGATTACAATAGCCTATATAGCTGATTAAATTATTGTTGTTTAGTCTAACCAAACAAACGTTAACAGACTTCACCCACCTTCACCTTCACAGCTGATATTCAGATTATTAAAAATCTGAAGGTGCTTACTGTTTAGTAGTGTGAAAGTGTGTTTACAATTGGTAAGTTTTGAGGTAACTCTGTAAGCGATATTTACACATAAATTCTATAACATACAAAATCAATAGCTCATCTCATTTAAATTTATTTTATATATTTCTATGTGATTGTTAAGTTGGACGATTTTCACATTTGTTGGTCCCATTGAAGTTAGCCTCAAATTAGCTGTCAATTAAATTTCATAGAACGAAATATTGCGTTGGCAGTGTTGCCATGTTGTTATAATGTATTATCAGATAATTATTTATACCTCTGTTGATTACAGGTCTATTTATAGTAATAGGAGCTTAACATGTTTTTATTTAAGAATACATTGAAATTAACCCAGAAGAACTTGAAATTGCTAGCTAAAATGTCAACTGAAACATTAAAGGTGAGGTCACTTTTTTCATATTTACTTTTTACCTAATATTTATTTTATTTCTACCGTACCGATATTTATTGTGATGTGAAATGTTTACAGTTCAGACAAAGAATATAGACGCTTATAAGCGTCTATATTCTTTGGTTCAGAACCACTTCAGAACTCATAAAAACCAGAGAACTACGAACAGTCGAACACAACTACGAACTGCGTTCGTAGTTCTCTGTAAAAACACTCGTTAACATGACATGAGTTCCCTATATGTTGCCTATACGTCATTGGTTGCCAATACGAAATTTCTCCATATGTATACTGCATCTAATTTACTTACCATTGCGCGTCATTATCATTGACAGAGATTGAAGTTGACATAGTTGCCAAAATATAAAAAAATCTAGTCCATTTTAAATCAAATAGGTCACATAATTATTGCAAAAGTATTATACTCCATTTGCTTAGCTCGGGCACAGAATAATAAACAATCAGAATGCCCACTCTCAGGTGCCGTCAGAAAGTTTTTCAGCACGCGCGCCATGTTTTAGAAGAAAACACAACACAGTCACAAGGTTATTAAAAATAGACAGGTTGTCTGGTAACTTTACACCAATCAGCGTCGAGAATCTAACGGCGGGAATGACGTGACTGAGAATGCTACATTCAAATTCATTCACTTTACTCCTTGAAATGAACACGAAAAGCAACAATGATTGTAAATATATTAATCTATGTATATCGAAAAAAATACATTTGGACTTTTAATAACTATTTATTGCATTGCATCTTTAAAAAATGTGGGAGATAAGTACCTGCAGAGTTACAGAAATCATAAAATATTATTCCAGCTATGTAGTAGAATAGCATTAAAGTAGATTCTTTCTTGTGTATACATGTGACTAAAACATGTTAATATACTATATTAATAATGAATTAAATACAATTTACTTTTTTTAATTATTTTGAATTGAGGATAATGCATTAGTGGATTATTATAAATTCCTCCAAACAAGTAAACCATGCTGAAAACGAGATTCAACTAAATATTTATATATCAGAATTAGTAGTTTTTCCATTAACTTCAATATATTTAAGGAATATCTGATGACATTACTGGATTATATAATAGAATATAAAAAATATTAAAACATGATTCCATTAAATAGATACCTTTTAAGTTGTACATAATTAACAGTAAATTATAAAAATCAAAATCAGTGAATTAACACATTTTTACTGAACATTTAAATGACTATACCTACTTACGATCTTTTTCAGTTTTTTAGGTTGTATGTTTAATAGTTTAGCTTTTAAAGCATCCTCATAATCGTCCATGCGAAAGTGTATACTACAAACTCTTTTATTAAAACAGGGCCACTTATCCTTCCTATGACACTTGCTCATCCATTGCTTTTGAATTTTTACATTTTTTGGAAATGTAAAAAACATTAAATTCCTTCCATCCTTTTTGGAATTTTTTGAATTATATTTGCAGATTGCTACACTACAAATATTTCCACCAGTCATCTGAATCAATAAAGAAACTGAATTAAGTTATGTTTTTCCTGCATTAATCCCAATGTTACCTTTACTATATAATACAGCAGAAATAAAATCCAGTAAGACACAACCACGTTAAATGTATCTTAACACTTGTATAAGAACTTTGAAAATAAGGCTATTATCGAGCACAAGTTAATTAAATCGTTAAAATTGTACAAAACAATAAAACAATAATTGTATGTTATTTTTAATGTTTCCACATTCCACGCTTGCTGGATAGTTCACATTTTGACGAAATGCCCCTGAAGATGCTATTTTAAGCGAAAGTACTTGGGCTAGATTTAATTAATTTGTGCTCGATAATAGCCTTATTTTCAAAGTTCGTTTATTCGAGCATTCAACCTCATTTCACTTGTATAAGAGTTTTGGGTCCAAGTTGTATACTAAAAATCACTCAATAATATCTATAGACATATTATATCTCAAGATATTAACATAAACTAAAGCACTAACGATATTTAACAACAAAATATATTCTCCAAACCACTTCTCCTATTTGGTTTTCAAACAATTCGTAAAATTGACCCCCTGGGTGACGTCATTTCATTCTGTCAATGTCAAGAGTTATCATGCAACCTCCCTTTTACTAACCTTGACACAGACATATGATGTGTGAGGTTATGTAATTGTTTATATCCATCGAGCAAAAAGATAAAAGAGGGAATCTAATCGTTATGAAAAGGAGACCAAAAAAGTGGCCTCTGATGGCGGACATATCCGGAAATGCAAAGGCGCTAAATTTAAATTTTCCAACACTTATTAACAATAGCTATAAAATATTTTTCAGACGAGAAAGTTTTAATTAAATATTAACTATAATAGTCTAAAAAGTGACACAATTGGTAAAAGATTTCAATATAAATAAAATTTCATGTGACAGTTGGGACAAACAATAACATAACCTAACTAAATTTGACTTCTTAAACAAGGAAAGAGACTGTCTATCCTTGTCTAAAGTGGCCTCTCAAGATCGCACTTCCTGTCTATCAATATGTTTACCCCCACTACCGTTACATTCCCTCTTTTGTCTTATTGCTCGATGTTTATATCACAGAATAATAAACAATCAGAATGCCCACTCTCCATGGAAAATTAAGTACGCGCATCTCCTTCGCGCAGACGTTCCGCCATGTTTTAGAGGGAACCATTGTTGTTTATGTGGTGTGCATAGAAAAATTATGATGAAAATAATTAAAGATATCAGGATAGAAGATGGAAGAAATTGGTCGCTGGAGACCATATACTGCAAGAAGGTCAAGAAGTCGACCGCAAATGAGATGGAAAGATGACATTGAGCAAAGCGCAGATCCAATGTGGGAAAGAGAAACAGAAGACAGAGACAAATGGGAGAGGCCTATATTCAATACATGAATAGATTTTGGGCTATAGATACATAGATAGATAGAAAAATTAACCCGGTTTAATTGACTTACGGCAGTCATAGACATACTATACAATTATATTAACATTGTTAAATATAATATCATTAAACATAAATATAAACAATAACATAACCTCACAAATCATATATCTGTGTTGTGTGTTTCCTTCTAAAACATGGCGCGGTTGCTGAAAAACTTCAAAGGCGGCATATCTGAGAGTGGGCATTCTGATTGTTTACGAACACACTTGCCAGTTTGGGGACAGTAGCTGGTGCTTGCTAGGTACTGGTATGCCATTGTGCTAGTAACAGGCATGTGTATCTCCGGCTTCAAATTCGTTGCCGCGACGGAGCGCATACACGGTGGATGGTTTAGGATGGGACGCTGAGAGGGAACAAGCGGAGGGTGCCGGTTAGTTGGCACGTTTCGACTTATTGAACGACCGGAATAGAGAGATTCTGCTGTATTCTACACCTCATGTTCCCGCTCATATATCGGGGTGTTCACTACAGACTGTATGTCGCATTCAGCATGCTGTAAAGAAATGCTTGGCCATCCACATTTGCATGCCCCGTACACACTTGCACCACCATGGTCTAACGATTAATGACCATAGATAGACACTCCATAAAAAAATAGATACAGAAAAACTTATGACAAGTAGATGATGTACAATTAGAAGACTTAAATATTGTATCAGCTTCTTTTTCGTAATACATTCATCTATTCTTATGTGATTTCATTCTTCAAATCATCAAAATCAATCAATACAATACGAATATTCCTTTACTCTCAATAATAATGTTAATTCTGTTGTTTTTCATTTTGGTAATGTTACAATCTTAATATTTACATTATTTTTAAGACACATAAAATTGATGTTGATGGACAAACTATTAACTACCTCAAAGTCGGGAATGGTCCAAAGACAGTGTTGTGTTTTCCTGGAGCGTTGGGAACAATTTGGAGCGATTTTAAACCTCAATTGGAAAATTTAGATAGAGATAAGTTTACTATAGTAGCATGGGATCCTCCTGGTTATGGTTACAGTCGTCCTCCAAATAGAAATTTTGGAATTAATTTTTATAGAGATGATGCTATATGTGCAGAAAAGTTTATGAATGTAAGTACCTGTGTAATTTTTTAATGCTAACGAAAATATTTATTTTTCAATTATAAAATGACCTTTTTCTATCTTCTTCTTCAAGTTCCACTCCTATCGGAGATTGGAAATCATTCTGGCAATTATAATTTTGTTGGTTACGCGCCTGAATGGTTCAATTGAACTGCATCCAAACCATTTACGGAGATTGCGTAGCCACGAGATTTTACGTCTTCCTGCGATTCTTCTACCTTTGATTTTACCCTGCATTATATTCCTTTTTATATAGGGACAATCAAAGCGGTAACGTTAATAAGAGAAATGTAAAGAAAACTACACAAATGTAACCAACTTATACATGTTGTTATCATTCTTCTTTTTATTGTCAGTAAGTTATGGTCAACTGTTCATCTTCTTCATCGCTATAGTAACCACGTGAGAGAGTGTTATTTGTTGTTGACGGTGACCTCGCTTGAAATCGAGAGGCAAAAATCATCATGCCAATTTTAAGGGGACAGTCTCATGCGATTCGAAAAAAAAAACGCATTTTAAAATTAAAGCAGAAAAAAAAACTATAATATTTATTAACATAATTCCTTTTGGAGATGAGTACATAATAAAGTTGGATATAATTGGATATAGTTGGATAATTAAAGATGGAGTACATAATAAAAATTTTTAGTAGCGATTTTAACTTCATTGGTGTCCTGTAGATGGCGTGTAGTAAAAAGTGCGTTTTTGGTGGTAAGACACTTTGTTGGTCACCTGTAACAGATATTCAAAAAATTCAAAATGGGTTGTATGCGTGAGAGTCAAAACTAGATGATAAACCTTTAAAATATGCAAATTGTATTATTTTGAAGAGTTTATACGAATTTTTTCAAAAAAGTCGAAAAATCACTATATTTTTCGGTGGATTTACCCATATATAATAAAAGGGAGGGTGGTTTTTAAATATTTTAAAGGTTTATCATCTAGTACTTTCTATGTACATTCGAAAAATTTTTGGTTTTTTAAAATCGGTTAAGAGGGTTCGGACAAAAGTGCCTGACCAGTTTGAAAATGTTACTTTTGAGAAAAAAGCATTTAAAGTTTTTTTTTACATAATTTTCGTGAATAAAAGGCTGATAACTTTATACTCACGTTTAATCGGCCATTCCTGGTGAATATTGAGGACCGTCTTCATCCAATAGTTGTTGTAAATGGCTTTGTAAAGCTGTAAATTTCAATACAACGTCGCAATGTTTTATAATTAATTCATTTGTTTGACTGGAGTCTCACTCTCAATTCACGCCGCGATGCTGCCAGTGTAAGTGTAGAAACGGAACACATCTAGATCGCATGTCAATTCAACGAAAACGCACTTATTTATAAATGTAGATATTAGAAAATTTTTTATAATTAAAAAAATGGTTGTTTTATTGCCAAAACGGCTTGAAAAAAAAGTTGATTTCTAAAATTAAAAATAAAAAGGAATTTTAAAAATAAAATAATTATATTACACTCTTTTTAATTTGAAATTATAAACAATATTTGGATTAATAAATGTATTTAAATATAAATTTTATAACTCAAATAATACCTAATGAACACAAACAAAATTGATGTTAATAAAACATTATTTATTATCTGCACAAAACCGGACTTTCAGAAAAAATCGGCAGACGGAGCAACACTGTCGGCGTATATACGCTACTGCTACTATAAACCGCTGAGGAGAAGTGGAACTATAAATCCAATGGAACAAATAAATTAGTTATAAAACATCGCGACGTTATAAAGAAATACTGGTTAATTGCAACGCAGAGAATCTTAGTATTTGTAAAAAATCCTATGTTCCGGATTTAAAATTCCAAATGTGTATAGTAACTGCCAAACGTTATACAGATATACATACTATATAAAAATGAATCACTAATACATACCCAACGTATATACAACATATATACAAAATCAAGAACAGCTGGAGCCTCGCGCTCGTCGCGCGGTTGAGAAATTGGTTTTTATACGTGCGTAGATGACGTTAATAAAATAACTATAACTTATATTCTAGTGGGAATTTCTTTTTAAAATTTTAGGAGGGAGTTTTTGAATGTAAATGGAAGCGATTTATAAAAAAAATTAAAATTGATTTTTTGAAAGTTCCGCATGAGACTGTCCCCTTAAAAAAGGTAATGTAAAAATATGTAAAACGACAGGTTAATTGCAGCAGTAATATCTTAAAAAATATATGAATGAATTATAAATTCAAAATTAAAATTGAGACAGACATTTGATCATTCTCAGAGACTGGGCGGGAACTAGGAGATTTGTTAGGGGGCAAAGATCAGTTTGCAACCCCTTTCCCGATCTCTCCTTCCCACAAAACAAGAAAAACGCACAAAATATACTAGCTCGTCCTCCTCAAGTAATCTGGACCAAATTTCTGTATATTTACCCACCATATTTGCCTCATTGTCGTAGGATTGAGCTCTATAATTCTCCGAGTTATCAATCTTTGTTTAATTTTTTTAGGATTCTTGAATAAGGACTTCACATGTTATTCACTAACCGAGAAAAATCAATAAAACTTTTCCTCCGATGTATATTTTTTTTTAAACTTAAGTCATTTGCTCATTGTGGCTGATGTCCTGAGTGCAGTCAAATATTGAGGAAAAATATTTCCTTTCCAAAATATCTTATATTATCTTTTGCTTTATATTATTGGCAATAATTTCAAGAAACCCATCTTACTTTATGTGAAAAATGTGAGATAGAAATTAAATACAATTATACAATATCGATGCTTCCAAAAATTATAACGCTATACAAAATTAACTTGGTTGCTGTGGTTTACTAAATACTTCGACGCTTAGTAAAAGTTTTTATTAAATCTCTTTTAAATTATATTTAGATTTGTCTATCTGGTCCGTTTTTATGAATCGAGGCTCCTATACTGGAGTTGTATTACTTTTTTCTCTATAGTAAAATGCTGAGGCGAGCGTTACGGAACTAACGCTACGAGAAAGCGTCACATCGATTTAGAAGTCTCCATGAAGTCGGTTCTAGTCATCATATATTTACTCTAAACAGGTTTGAGTTAAAAGCTGCGTGAAAAATAACTAACAAAATGCAGAAATTAAATGAGATGTAAAAAACTAAAAGAATATCTGTCAGTAAAAGATCTATTCATAACGATTGTTTAAATTTAAAAGTCATAAATGTCATTCAAATAATAACAATATTGAATCATCTGTTGTTTATGACCCTTCTTGGTTTAAAATAATTTTATATAATATAATTATTATTTTTAAACATCTTTAATTTACACCAGGGTCGATAATTTTTGAAACCCAAAAAAAATTGGAACAAAAAATAAATTACACTCCATCCGAGGTCGGGAAGTGGGGGAGGGGGTTTATCGCGATTTTTGGCGAAACTTCAAGTGCTATGGAAAAAAGTTAAACAGCAAAGTTGTAAGTAACAAAAAGATCTACAACTTTCGTATTTACACTTTTTTCACATAACCTCAAAATTTTTGTGGAAAATTCAAAAAACTAAGTTTTTGATTTTTTTATTTTTATCTTTAAAAAAGTTTATTTTACGAAATTTGGTGAAAACTTGCCTTAGTATGTATCAAATACACTGTAATTTTTTGGAATTGAAAAATTTATTTTTTTACCTGATATTGATTTATTATCAAAAAAGCACCCTAATTTTTAATCGAAAATTCACGCGTCAAAATATCAGCTTTTTTAAAAAAGTCGGTGAGCTTTTTGTTCTTTGAAATTTCTACTTTTTGATAGTGTAAAAAAATATACATTACTATGGGAAATGTTCACAAAAAAACATTTTTCCATAGCACTTGTAGTGTCGCTGAAATTCGCGGTAAACCGATTTTTACCCTTAACCCCACCCCCCCACACTTCCCGATCTCGGATGGAGTGTAGTTTATTTTTTCTTCCAATTTTAGCATATTCTTTTCTTTTTCCAATAGGTTTCATTCTACTATAATTTTTTTGTACCATCTTTTTTTTTGTAAAATAGATGAGACATTTCCCAAAGTTACATGTTTAGTTCAGTATACCACTTTAAACTAATTTGGTTTAGAAGTGATGTCTAGAAAATGTCCTGTCCTAGAAAATGTGATTGTCTCTGGATATCTGCATTTCAAGCTTATCGTTAAAGCTGAAGCATAACTAACGTATTTTTTGTAGAAATTAGGAATAAACAAATATTCTCTGCTAGGCTGGAGTGATGGAGGAATATCTAGTATGATTTTATCGGCAAAATATCCAGAGAAGGTTGAAAAATTGGTTTGTTGGGGATCTAATGCATATATAGTCGCCGAAGAGGTCAAGCAATGTGAAAGTAAGTAAAATACCTCATATTTATAGCGAGTTAAAATATATAATGTAGTTATAAATTATGGATTCGACCGATAGTTGATAACACTTTTTGCTGCTTCAGGTAAAACTTTTTAGCTCGTCTCAGATGTAC